AGCACGGGATCAGAATGGAGAGAACCGTGCCCGGCACGCCTCAGCAAAATGGTGTAGCTGAGCGGATGAACCGAACGTTGACAGAGAGAGCCAGAAGCATTCGAGTACAATCAGGCCTACCGAAGCAGTTCTGGGCAGAAGCGGTCAACACAGCAGCTTACTTGATCAACCGAGGTCCATCGGTTCCATTGGAGCACAGAATACCAGAGGAGGTATGGTGCGGAAAGGAGGTAAAACTCTCACATCTTAAAGTTTTCGGTTGTGTAGCTTACGTGCATATTAGTGATCAAGGCAGGAATAAGCTTGATCCCAAGTCAAAGAAATGCACTTTCATCGGCTATGGTGAAGATGAGTTCGGCTACCGTATTTGGGACAACGAAAACAAGAAAGTGATCCGCAGTAGAGATGTGATATTCAACGAGAAGGTGATGTACAAGAACATGCACAAGACAGATGACTCAGAGAGCGAGTCAATATTTGTAGATGTAGATGATGTTCCGAGTAACCTCTCGGAAGAACCCAATGCAGAAGGTCCTCAGCAAGAAGAGCCTGTTGGACAAGATGGTGCGCAGGAGCCCGACGCACCAGCTCCGATATTAAGAAGATCTTCCCGTCCTCCTGTACCCAACAGGAGATACATGAACTATCTGTTGTTGACAGATGGTGGGGAGCCTGAAAGCTTTGATGAAGCTTGTCAGTGTGGAGATGCGAGCAAGTGGGAGCTTGCCATGAAAGATGAGATGAAGTCCCTCATCTCAAACCAGACGTGGGAACTAGCTGAGTTGCCCACGGGTAAGAAGGCACTCCACAACAAATGGGTGTACCGGGTGAAAGAGGAGCAAAATGGTTCCAGAAGATATAAAGCCCGACTGGTTGTCAAAGGTTTCCAGCAGAAGGAAGGAATTGGCTACACCGATATTTTCGCTCCCGTGGTGAAGCTAAATACTATCAGGACCGTGATGAGTATTGTAGCAATTGAAGATCTTCATCTCGAGCAGTTAGACGTGAAGACGGCGTTTCTTCACGAAGATCTAGAAGAGGAGATATACATGCACCAGCCAGAAGGTTTCTCAGAAGAAAAGAAGAAGAACCTGGTGTGCAGACTCAAGAAGAGCTTGTATGGCCTGAAACAAGCCCCAAGACAGTGGTACAGAAAGTTTGACGGCTTTATGCACAAGGAAGGTTTCCAGAAGTGCAACGCCGACCACTGTTGCTACTTCAAAAGATATCAGTCCAGCTATATCATCCTACTGCTGTATGTTGATGATATGTTGGTTGCAGGAGCAGATATGGAGGATATCAAGAGTTTGAAGCAGCAGCTGTCAAAGGAGTTTGACATGAAGGACTTGGGTCCAGCGAAGAAGATCCTTGGAATGCAAATCACGAGAGACAAGAAGAAAGGGTTCTTGCAGTTGTCTCAGACGGAGTACATCAACCGTGTTTTGCAAAGATTCAGCATGGGCGACGCTAAGCCAGTGAGCACACCCTTGGCCAGCCATTTTCGCCTGTCGAAGGATCAGTCTCCTCAGTCAGAAGAAGAGAAAGAAAGTATGACTAAGGTTCCTTACGCCTCAGCTATCGGAAGCTTGATGTACGCTATGGTCTGTACGAGACCAGATATTGGTCATGCAGTGGGAGTGGTCAGCCGGTTTATGTCGAATCCAGGAAAAGCTCATTGGGAAGCGGTCAAGTGGATTCTGAGATATCTACGAGGCACCACACAGAAGTGTTTGCACTTTGGTAAGGGAGAGGTAGAAGTGCAAGGGTACGTAGATGCAGACTTTGGAGGTGAAGTTGATCACCGAAGAAGCACCACCGGCTATGTATTCACCGTTGGAACTACAGCTGTTAGTTGGATGTCACAGGTACAGAAGATCGTTACCCTATCCACTACAGAAGCTGAGTACGTTGCAGTGACTGAAGCCAGTAAAGAGATGATATGGCTTCAAGGTTTGTTGACAGAGCTGGGATTCAAACAGGAGAAGAATGTTTTGCACAGTGATAGCCAGAGTTAAGATCCAAAGTATTCCGAAAATTCGTTCCAGTCAACCGCGAACTTTCGAAAACTTTGGAGGGGGTTCTGTAGGCTGTCTAAAAATCACAATAGATAGCTGATCCCCATCAAAACACCGATGATGGAAGTTACACTCTGACGACTTCCAGAAGGTTACAATTTGAAGACTTTCACGTAGATCGCTAAAGGTTACAATCTGACGACCTTCACGACAACTGATGGAAGCTCTAATCAAACAGCCTTCATAATCAACATCGGGAGTTACAATCTGACGACTCTTGCATATCAAAGAGCTAAAGTAAAGATTACAAAATGACGATCTTTGCAACGCTTCGACAGAAAGAGACTACAAATCGACGGTCTCTTCAAATCAAGCTGCGGAAGTCCTCCCCGCACACCAGCATCAAGATGCGCCGCGTTCATAGCTACAAACACAGCTCAAACACAGCTCCAATCGCTGCCAAGCACAGTTCGAACGCAGCTCCAATCACTGCCAAGCACAGTTCAAACGCAGCTTCAATCGCTGCCAAGCACAGCTCTGAATGCAACTCAAATCAGCCTCTGAACGCAGCTTCAACCGTTGCCAGACGCAGCTCCAGCTGACTTCGAACGCAGTTCTATACTGCTGCCAAACGCACCTTCAAACATAGAAGAACGCAGCTCAACATCGCTGCCCGACGCAGCTCAACATCGCTGCACAACGCAGCTCAATATCGCTGCACAACGCAGCTCTATTCGCCGCCCAACGCAGCTTCACTCGCTGCCAGACGCAGCTCGCAAACACTGCGTTCAAACGCAGATTTCGTTCTAGAATACAGGATTTGCGTTTGACTCGTTCAAACACGAGCTGAACGGTTTTAAAACCGTTTCCCACGATCTGAGGGGATCACAACTCCACTCAGGAGTGATTTAAGGGGGGCGGTTACATCCCATTAGCCCCACTTAGGAGCGAATTAAGGAGGTGGTTACACCCTTTAATCCCCTATAAATAACTGAAAATCAATTCAGTTCGTGGTGGGTCTTTTAAATCCTTCTCGTGGGCAGCAAAGAAGAGATCTGGGGCTGGTTTTTGGGGGGGTTCGGTTGCAACTTCTTGGCAGCGAAAAGAGGATCCTTCATCCTTCGGTGGGAGCTTTGGAGATCGGCAACAAGATCTTCTTCATCCTTGGCTTATAACCGACTTTCGGTTAAATCAACTCTTTCATAGAGTTTTAAACTCGTTCAGAGTTCTCCACAACGTCAAATCGTGAGGAGAAGACCACGTTCCAGTGAAACAAGACATCGGATCGTCAACGAGAAGCAAACTCGACGCGAGCATTCGAGGGAGGCATCTCATCGCTACCTAGAAGGACCCAGAATTAAACAAATGAGAGAATCCAGATCATTCTCTTCTCTTTTGTAATCGGAAATCTAATTGTAATCAAGAGTTGAGAGAGTTGTAATCATTCTTTTTCTAAGCAGTTAGAGAGAATAAAATTCAAATACAGTTCTTTCATTTATTTTCTTATTTGCAAATTTTCCCACAAACAAAAGATGGCGACTCTGCTGGGGACTAGCTTCTCTGATGAAGAAGTGGTGGCGCAATCCAAGACGATGGGTATCGGGTCGAAAGATGCCCATGGAGGCGACAAAGGCCTTGAAGCAGGCTAAGAAGAACGCCGCTCGACGAAGAAGAAGATCTCGACGACGAGCACAACTTCGAGAATGCCGATCCTCAAGTCAACACGAGCTTCGTGTTTGTGAGCCTAAACGCGACACTGTTTCTGTTTCAGAACGCAAGTCTCGCGTCTATGAGCCAAAACATAGGCTCTGTGTGAATAAGATTGAACGCAGCCCTAAATGGCGCGTTATACAATCGGAACGCAAAGCTCAGGCATGCATTGCTGAGCCAGAACGCAACCCTCAAGGGAGCATTACAAAACAAAAACGCAGGTCTCCAGACCGCATTAACCATCCTGAACGCAGTCCTCAACAAAGCATTCCAGAATCCAAATGCGGACATCAGACATGCGTTCGGGTGACGAAATTCAATATGAGGAGCGGGGACGTAGGTCGTGGGGACCGAACCTCGTAAACATATCCTTTGTTTGTGATTGCTTTGGCGCACTTGTTTTCATATTCATATCTTACATCGCCATTGTGTATTGCTTGTTGATCATTTTGCCCTATCACATTTGTAGTTAATTTGTTTACCCCTCTTGTTAGTTTTATATCCTTGCACATATATTGTCTATATCTCTTTGTTAGGATATATCTTATTGTTTATATATCCTTACATATATTTCTATCATATAGGATATATCACCTTGTGTATATTACATATTCTTGCACATAACTCTTTGTATATCTATCTTGCAAGAATATATTTGTTAATTAGTTTTAATTGGTATTTAATCGGATTAGATTAGCATAAGACTCTAATCACCCCCCCTCTAGGGTCTAACAACTCATTTATTTTCAAGAGAGAATTGAAAGGGATTATTCCCTTTAATTATTAACACTGTAGCTACAGTGTTCATTTGAGAAATCTCAGTTTTGAGATCTGCTCTTAAATTGTAATTTCTTGTTTGATTAATAAGAAATTGACTGTGTGGCTCCCGAGGACGTTGGCAGTTGCCGAACCTCGTTAAAACTTGGTGTACTTTTTCCTATTCTGCGTTTCTGTTGCATTAGGGATTTAAGCGTTAAATTCCCAACATAAACTTTAAGGGTTTTTTGTGAGACACCACAAAGTTCTGGATTTATGAGATAAAAACATATTGAAAACCCCATAGTTGGGGGTTACATCGAATTTTCCAAAGCTGAAGGGGTTAGCTGCTACACGACCAAACTTGATGGGAGGTTTTCTCAAATTAAAATAGGTGAAGGGGTTTTTCTAAACTCAACCCTAAAATAAAATCTGCACAAAGTTCGGATCAAATTGCCAACAAACCCAAACCCGAATCCAACCCCCAAACCGCCTTAAACATACAAACCCCCCAACAAAACGGAAGTTAACCCTCCCCGATTTCCCCCCTCTTCCCCCAAAATCCCCAAATCTCAAAACCCTAACCCTAACCCTAATGGCGACGATCAGCCTTCGAAAGGCCAACACTCGCCTCCCCCCGGAGGTCAACCGGGTCCTCTACGTCCGCAACCTCCCCTTCAACATCTCGAGCGAGGAGATGTACGACATCTTCGGCAAGTACGGCGCGATCCGCCAGATCCGCATCGGGACCAACAGGGACACGCGGGGCACCGCCTTCGTCGTCTACGAGGACATCTACGACGCCAAGACCGCCGTCGACCACCTCTCGGGGTTCAACGTGGCGAACAGGTACCTGATCGTGCTCTACTACCAGCAGGCGAAGATGAGCAAGAAGTTCGACGCGAAGAAGAAGGAGGATGAGATCCAGAGGATGCAGGAGAAGTACGGCATCCCTGCTACCAAAGATAAGTGATGGCTTTTCCCCTTTCAAAATCTGATCTTGACGGTTCTGCACATCGAAAGGAGGGAACTTTGGGATGTGGGTTTGTGTTGTTTGATAGTTAAATGCGGTTTGTTATATGACCAGAGAATCTATCGACTGTTGAATGATCTAATGACAAATTGGGATTTAAGTGGTGCTATTTGCACTGTATCTGTTAGTGGGCATATCTTGGATTTCTGTGTTACGACTTGTGCAAGTAGAATGGCTTTTTGAATGAAAGGTGATAATCATGGCAATGACATCGAATTAAATATTTAAAATCAAATTAAACCCTCCAGTTCCCTCCCTCTTTACCCCAACCCCCCAAACCCTAACTATAACTGCAGACTCACATTGGTTTCAATCGGTCTCAGCAAGACCCAACGCTCGCCACCTCCCAGAAGTGAACCGAGGTCTCTATGTCTGCAACCATGACTGGACTGGATACTAGATTCAGATAGACTTAATGAATTATTTCTTTTTGAAGTTTTTTTTAGCTATTTAGTATTGCATAGAATTTTATCTACATTATTTAATTTTCTCAAAAAATTACTAATGCTTTAAGTTATATGCTAATATGTTAATTGTTTTACTGTTTGGAATCGTTCGATACTACCTAAATCTATATGAAATACACGAGTAAGAACATTGTATTGAGAATCAAAGAAAAACTACAAAGAGGACATTATATGCTATACATGCGAAATAGAACCCAACATTCGGTACATAACGATAAAGAAATATTAAATTAAAGGAGTCAATTTCAGAATAGAAACTTTCATGGGAGAAGGTTTGTGCAAAAAGAATTAAAATAAATAAACTAGCTATCATCCAACTAATTCTCTTGTTCTTGTTTGTTCTTCCCTCAATACCATTCAAAGATCTAAATTATATTCTAGTTTTTCCCTAAAGTAAAATGTAATTGCTCAACATACTAGCAGGGAACCTAAAACGATGGTGGTGAACGAGCTTAATAAAAGTTGTAAGTGATATGATAGTTTGGTGAATGATCATCCAAGAATGTCTAAACTTATAACATCTTAAACTAAGTGTAAATTTTCTCTGCTTTTTTCAAAGTTTTAGGTTTGTGAAATTAGAGAGAGAGTGTAAATTTTCTTACCATATCTCCTATAAGAACTGTTTGTCTTTGAGATTTTACAATTTGAATTTTTTCACTGGAAGAATTCTTCAAAATTTGGAAAGTTAACAGCATAACCTGAAAAGTAAAGTTCAAACAAAACCATAATCTAGGTTCAATACTTTCTGTGGGTTTGT